ATATGTCATCATATCACGTGTTAATTTTATTTCCACCTCATATTTTAATAGCAAACCTCATGAAAATATTTGATTAAAAAATGGAGGCGCTTGGATAAAAAAACTGTATGGATCCATGCTTCTTAAAATATGGGCAGTTGTAGTAGCCCAACAAATTGAGGGCCCAGCAACAACCCTCAACTAAGAGAAAAAAAAAAAAAAAAACCATCACCCTGAAGCGTTGTCGTTTATCAAAACGACCACCACCATTTCTCCTTCCAGCTCTCCAAGAAAATCCAGCTCGACAGACACAGGAAGACACTGAGAGAGAGCTGTTGAGAGGACAAAGAAATGGCTGCTACTAGCTCCTGCAGTGTAAATTTGGGAGTGAAAGGAAAAGGGAAACTAGAACAGCCTTTTTCTTCCTCTAAATCCTCTCTGCTTCTCTTCTCTTCGAACTTGTCTTTTGCTTACAATAACACCAAATATTGCCTTTCTCTTCGTTCCCATCACACTCTTTTGTCCGCTTGTTTAACCAAAACCAAGAACTCAGCTTTTGTAAGTGAAAACATCTCATTTCTCTTATTGGGTTTTGAATTTCACCATGTTTTATTTGTTTCTGTTTGATAGGGTTTTATTCCTGTTACGTGAATATGTTTGTCCTCTTTTCTTTTCAATAATTTTTATGTGTATGTGGTTATGTGAAGGTCGTGGCATCAGCAAAGCCAGAGCATTTGAAGATAATGATATCCGGAGCTCCTGCTTCTGGTAAAGGTACTCAATGTGAGCTCATCACTAAGAAAGTAAGCCCTGTTTTTCTTCAAGTTTCTTTTAATCTTTTGTAATGCCACCTGTCACTAAATTTTCCCGAATCTTTTCTTTGGGGAGCAACTTTTCATTTTCCCATTTGCTAGTTATGTATATTGTTCTGCATATGAAAATGTTGTTTCTTGAAACAATTTTTTTTCTTATTGGAGTGCGTATATCTTGCTGAGATTTACTTGGATTTTTATCTAGTGAAGGTTTCAAACATCTGAATAAGACATTATAGTTTTTATGAATGACATTATGTTTTGTGATTTGAATATATATTGAGTTTGTTAACAGTGAGGTCATCTATATCTTGTTATCTGGTGTGCTTCAATTAAATAGCTGAGCATTTTCTCCATGTGAGATACTCTCCCTCCTTAAATAGTTTTCCACAAAAGGAAAACACGACTATTGCAACTTTGACATGCAGGGCCCTAAGAGAACCAAGCTCGGATGAACAGCTTGGCTTAGTTGCTTGTGCTTAGTCAAGTCCAGTCTCACTTAAGAAAAGGATTTTCAACATTAGTTAGTGGGATCCATCAACCTTTTGAGATTATATGGACTCAGTCTTTGTGCTAATCTAACATGATCTCAAACTTTACTTTATGTAATATGGTATTTTCTTCATTTGAAAACTAAGTTTTGTTGGAGAGTTGCGTGATAGTTTCACTAGTTTCCAATGATTAGTGTGTATCTGTTTCACTCGGGAAGGAAGCAGTCAGTGTAAGCTATTAGGGTTTCGATACAAGCAGTGTTCAAAATGTAGAGAAACACAATTAAACCAATTTTGATAGATCTTCTAGTTGAAACTTCAGAATCAAGTTGAAAGAATTTGTGCATGAGCATGATTATGGAGTCACTATCATCAATATGTTGGCTTGCTTGCCACAATAGTTAGGCTATCTATGATAAGAATCACCTATTTCGCTTTGACACAGTTGTCAGTAGTTGTTCATATGAAAACACTTAATTGGCTAGTTGTTAGTAAACTCAATTATGGCATGGAGGACTATACCATACTTAATTTCTGCTAAGGCTCGGACTAATGTGCAAGTAGCTTGATCAAGCAATCAGATAAGCCATTTGCAAGCTGAGCTCAAGCAGTTGGAATTGTTGCACCGTGTCATTCATGATTACTTAGATAACCAAGACAATTCTTTGAAATTCTGCTTTGAGATTGGATATGGTTTTTGCTTCCCATTGGTTTTATGGGGATTTTCTGATAGAAGTTAAAGCATTTTCTGCTTGATTTCTTAATTTGCAATTGCTGGTGAGGAAAAAACAGATTCAACAAGTCATCCTCATAAATGCAGTATGGTTTGGTGCATATTGCTGCTGGAGACCTGCTGAGGGCAGAAATTGCTTCAGGGAGTGAAAATGGGAAGCGAGCAAAGGAATACATGGAGAAAGGACAGTTGGTCCCAAATGAAATAGTTGTCATGGTAGGCATGGTTTAATTCCACCCCCCTCCCCCCTTCCTTTCGAGGCATTCATATTGTTCATTCAATCATCTGATCTTGTAGATGGTGAAGGACCGTCTGCTACAGCCAGACTCTCAAGAAAATGGTTGGCTTTTGGATGGATACCCAAGGAGCTTATCACAGGCAACTGCTCTGAAAGAATTTGGCTTCCGACCTGATCTTTTTATTGTCCTAGAAGTAAGAATTCTTGTTGCTGCTGGCATGTTATCTGTTACATCCCATTATCTGGCTAGGAAGAGAATGTGAACTTGCATGCTGATATTCTTCTCGGTGGCTACTTTGTTGATTTTCGTGTAACTTTAAAATAATATAGGATACTTTATCGAAGTCAAACTAAAAGAAGATGATCATGAAGAAGAAAGAATTGATTTATCAATTTAATGGCCCTGATGTATCCTCACATTCTTGGGTAGATTTCAAACTCTAAATATTAAGATTGAGTTTTCCCCTTCAGCCAATCTCATGAATACTGATTTGCAGGTCAACGAAGAGATTCTTGTTGAAAGAGTGGTTGGACGTAGATTAGATCCTGTTACAGGGAAGATATACCACCTGAAGTATTCCCCCCCTGAGACTGAAGAAATTGCTGCGAGGCTCACCCAACGATTTGATGACACCGAAGAAAAGGCATGTTCAGAACTAATCTGTGTACCTATGATTCTTGATTTTTATTACTTCAAAGGATTCTGTCTTCTTTGTGGCTTCAGTAAGCGCTCTGGATCAATATTTCCAAGTGATGATACTTGTTTCCCTTTTCATATGGCTTTATTTAGGTGAAGTTGCGCTTGCAAACTCATCATCAAAATGTGGAGGCAGTACTTTCAATGTATGAAGACATTACACTCAAGGCATGTGACAAAATCTCTCTCTCTCTCTCTCTATATATATATATATATATAGATTATTTCTGTGTGTGGGTTCAATTGACTACTCTACCATTTCATCCTAGCTATCCTAATGATATCAGTTGTCACTATTTTGTGAATAATTCGTTGTGTTTTTACAGCTCATGATAAGTTGATGCTGAGACTACTATCCACATTCAACAAGTATACGATATTGTTGGTGGATATTAGTGCTAGTGGTCTGGTGTAACCATATTTTAAACTGCCACTAATTTGATGCCAGCAATAATTGTTGGGCTTCTTTTCTGCTTTTTTTGTGCTAAATAACAATATGAAATAAAAAGTAAAATGAAAAGAGTTGTTATGTATTTTTTTGAGTTATGCACAAGCAATTTGTCTTGCATGTCCTTTATGAGGGAGGGATATCTGCTTATTGAGTGATTAGATTATCATCAATAAAGAGAAAAAAAGGAGGAGGGAAGAGCTGGTGTGTGATTTGGTGGATCATGCAACTGGTATAATACTATTATTAAATCTTAGTTGGAGGGCCATTTCATTGATTTCAGGTTAATGGAAATGTTCCCAAAGAAGATGTGTTTGCGCAAATTGATGATGCTCTCACAAAACTATTTGAGGATCAGAAGTTGACTTCAGGATCTCTGGCTGCATAGATGGAGGGAAGAACTGGTGTATAACCAATAGCCAGGAATCAGGAATTGTGAAAACTGGTATAGTTGTTCAGCCCTTTTTTTTTTCCAGCCCATTCTGTCAGGTTTATATACCTCAACCTCAAGAAATTCTCAAGTAGCAAGGCTTAGTTTGGTTACGTGGTTGAAACGCGATTTCAACCACGTGAAAAACATCAATTGATGCTTTTCTGGTGAAACCAATTGATGTTTTTTTCTGGTTGAAATGTGGTTTCAACCAAGTAGCCAAACGCGGACTAAGTACCCTTATTTTCTCTTTCCTAGAGCTACCACATGCTTGACTACTCTATCTGGTTATTCTTATTAAATTATTCTTTGAAGTGTAACTTTTGGATTTCATTTCTATGGAAACCAATTGAACTGTGCAAAAACTTGTGTTTTAGTCGCTAAAATACAGTGGGAAAAAATTAAACAACTTAAATAAGCTGCTCTTCAAGCAACTCTTTCTCAAGGACGAACAATTTGCTTACGCTGGTAAGCAAGGCGTTGCATATTGCATATGTTGGTCTCGGTTTCTGTGCCTAGGGGTAACGTGTCCTTGTGCTTACAAATAATGACACTTGTTCATTTTGGTGCCGTCGAAACTTGTTTGAATTTTCTGGAGTAAAGAATGTTATAGGAAAAGATAGCTCCTTCTGGATGATAACTTCATGGATGTTGATGGGTGCCTGTACTTGCCCATCTTTACGTTAGGTCAGCAAGTCCTGAACTTTGATCCACAAGGCTAGTATCAGCGTTTTCATTATTATAACCTAGTTATACTTTGTAGAAATCCCTTTTGATTACCAGAGGTTCGGAAACGCCGGTCAATTTATATTTTAAAAAATCCAATCTTTTATGTTTTGAATAATTTTGATATATTGATATTAAAAATAATTTTTTTAAAATAAAAAAAATGTTATTTTAATGTATTTTGGAATGGGAAATACTTTGAAAAATAACTATATCAATACTTTTAAAGAGGCTTAACAACGTATAAATAATTCAGTTGGGCAAGGAAAAAAGGGTTGAGATCGCCCACTCCATTCTTTTGTGCATCATGTGTTGATTCTTCAATTTTAGAATTTTCCTCCCGGACCTCGCAACGAGGAAGTAAATTCAAAGCTGAACGTTGAAAGAATACTTGAAGGAAAGAAACTGTAACCAGACACTTTTTGCCTCAATCGATCAACAAAGAGGAGTGAAAAATCCAGGGGAAACGGCTTAGACCAGTACTATGCACAAAAGTAGAGGACTATTTCATGGCAGGTTCTTGATGCCGGGCACTCGTTATATACGTTATCAAAGCTTTCAGTTTTAGTCTCTCATATCGAAGACCCGGTTGTGGACCGCGAAAGAGAAGATGGGTGCGGCAAGCACGCGGCCAATGCTCTATCTAGGCTACTTACAACATCAGTCATGGATGGCCGATCTCGACCTTCAAGTGTAACACAGTCTGCCGCTAAGTACCCTGTGCGTATCACTGCCTCTATTTCAAATGGTGTTGGTGGCGGCACTCTCGAGTCTAAAACTCGATGGATTTCTTCTTGGACAATGGAGGGAACAACAAGATCAACCACATTCCTATGCACCCCATTCTCGTTCTTGTGTATGGCCTTGTACCCCGACAGTATCTCCATCAACACCACTCCAAAACTGTACACATCGCTCTTCGTGCTCAGCCGCTGGAGTATGTAATATTCTGGGTCCATGTAACCTACCGTGCCGGCTGCGAGAAGCGATAGGTGTGACTTTTCATCTTCAGGACCCATCAAACATAGACCGAAATCAGACACCTTGGCAGTCCACGTGGAGTCAAGCAATATGTTTGATGACTTGATATCACGGTGGATGATTGGTGGCACTGCGTACCTGTGAAGGTACTCTACGCCTCGGGCTGCATCTAGCGCAACCTTGATGCGTGCAGTCCATGACATTAAGGGTGAACTTTCAAGCTTATGGAGATGGTCAAAGAGGGTGCCATTGTGCATATACTCGTAGACCAGTACCAGCTCATTACTGTCTTCGCAGAATCCCAACAACTTGACAAGATTCTTGTGATGAAGTCTTGAAAGGGATTCAAGCTCATTGATAAATGCAACGTCCCTGTCCTCTTGACGCTTTGTTCCAACAGAGTACGAATAAGTGTTTGATATTTCAGCTCGTTTGATAGCTACTTCGCACCCATCGTCTAATGTGCCCTGATAAACTGAACCAAAGCATCCCGCGCCAATTTTTTTATCCGGTGAGAAATTGTTGGTGGCTTCAAGTAGAACCTGGAAAGAGAATTCCTCCAAGTGACCTGCATTTCCCATGCTAGCCAACTCGCTTAGCCGCTTCTCTAAGACTGGTGATGCTTGTTCAGTTCGAGGGGCTTGAGGTCGGCTTGGAGCACCACCCTGTTCAACATCGGCTCCTGGCCCGGCACCATCCAAGCGGCCGGAATCATGGATCCGGCAGCCTCTACACTTGCAATACTTGAAGAGGAAGAACCCAATGACTAGCAATAGAACGAGGGATCCTCCACATCCCACCACAAAAAAAGCCATTATTTTGTCGCTCCATTTATTACAACTCCTTAGCCTCTCTTGACGGGGTTCTGGCGTTGGAGGCCATATGGCCGGAGGTGGAGTACAATTGCTATTGCTCTTAGAATGCGGGAAAACACTTTGGCATTGGGGGCCCGAGATAGCATCAGGACAATCATTTCTACGGGGACCTGGCAACACTTCCTCAAATACCAGTAAATTGGAGTTGAAAATCTCGTTACCCCAACAATACAAGGACGAAGTTGATTTCTCAACTCCACAGAAAACATTTATCGTTGCTTCAATTGCAATAAAATAAGTCTTCTTTAACCTCTCCGGCAAACTAAAATTATCTTGCCCCCAACAAACTATTGTTCCATTAGTCCGCAGAGCGCAGCCACGGTTCTCCCCCAAGGCCATTGATATGAACTCACCTTCCGGCTTCTCGCCAACCATACTTCCCCAGCACTCCATCCTATGATGGGAATTTATAGCACAAGCATGCCTAAACCCGGCAGCAACTGCACAATAGTTCCCCTTAAGATTTTGGCCATCGAAAGCATTATTAATACTTCCTCCACAAGTAATACTCCCGGATTCCGATATCCCACACACGAAATCCTCACCAACAGCAATACTTGATAATCCCTGAGCAATACTGCTAGAGTTGAACTCTCGCCGCGGCCAGCATTCGAGGTGATTAGTGACATTAATTAGGCCACAGGCAAAAGATTTTCCTGCTTCCAGTTGACTGAGAGCCAGGTCATGATAAATTCTCTTGTAGGACATCATGTTAGTAGCATTAACTGAGAATCTCCAACAAACCAAAGTTGAATTAGTAGGAGACCAAGGCAAGGATATTAGACCACAGAGAAATCCCTTTCCACCAACTATAGCTGAAAAAGAAGTACTAGGAGGATTCAAGGGGATTTGGATTCCACGAGGAAAACTTGAACAGCTTAGAAAAGAGTCCTGTTTGGTACCACGGGCAGGTGTTAATGCACACACCAATGTTTGGTTAGAAATTTCAGATATTGACACGGTTGAGAGTGAAAAAACGAAAGGAATGAAAGGAGAAAGAAATATGAGGTAGGAAAAGACATGAAGGTTAAACAAATCACAAGCCATAGAAAAAATAGTTTGTGGGATGGTACGATACTACTTTCGTGGTGGTACAAGTGATGCTTAGAGGTGGATTATTGTAGCTAGTGAGTGATGGTTTATGGCCATTTTTAAGGGGTCTGGGAGGAGGAGCAGGAGGAGGAGAGGGCAGCTATAGTTAAAGAGAGAAAAGAAACGCGTTTTTATGGAGTTTGTAATGGAGGGCCAAAGACCTGGTCATTACAAAGAAAAGTTTATTGCAAGTCTATATAAGCAGAAATGTAGAGATATAGAGAGAGCGTGTGGGAAATGGTTGAAACTCGTAATACAAACGAGCAAAACTATTGGAATGTCAAAAACAATTCTAATAACCAGTCCACGTTTTCTGTGCTATATAATGTGCTAAATGTATACAAGACTTTGGTACTTTCATCACTCAAAACGAGTAAATTTAATTAGTAGATATATCATGATGACGAAAGCAACACCAAAAAAAAAAAAATGATGCAAGTATAAGAATACAAAATTTTGTTAAAAAAATCATAAAAAAATTCTAATTTAAAATTTTGTTGTTGAATATTTTATTTTTAGAAGTTTATCCAAACATTGACTAGTTACGTCTAGGTATTATTAAAAATTATAAAAGAGTTCCATTTCAAATAATTTTTTTTTAAAAATTAACTAGAAAAATATAACAAATATTAACTAATTACTTTTAAGTATTATTAAAAGGTTTTTCCAAACACCAATTACTATAAAATTTTAACTCTATAAAAAATAGAGCCTTTAGAATTTTCTTGTAAAATTTCTATTCAATTTAATGGTTGAATAATAAACTATATTCAATAACATAAGACTATACACTAGGAAAAAATTAATCTCCTCCATTAGTCTCTATTGGCTGGAAAGAACTTGCCTTTAAGTTTAAGTTGTCTAGATCTCATGAATGTCCAATAAATACTCTCCAACCTTTTCTTTTCTCTTTTATTTAAGTAGATAATAATTTTAAACATAAACTTGACTCTTTTAATTTTAAAATCTGTATGAAAAATAACAACCAGTATATTATTTCTTTTTCATTGGCTTCTAGAGTAATAAATTGCAAATCTCAAATTTTTTTCATTAATATATATTGTTTCCATATAACCTTTAACACATTTATCTTTGTGATAACATTAACCTTATAATCAAAAGAATCAACATAATTTAAATCATCAAACTTCTTTTGTTATGCACTTTCCATATTTTTTTTTGCATTCAACCTTTATCTTATCAACAAGGATACCTTCAATGATATCATCACTACCATCACTATTATTATTTATGATATCATCATCAACATAATCATCATTAAAATAAACATCATAAATTAATAGAAAATATTATTCCACATCTATCTCATTATAAATGAGATCATTAAAATCAACACAATATTTATCTTGACTGAGAAGTCATTTTCTTTGCTCATGATTTTAAAATATATTTTTAAAAGTAGTTATGGTTTCGTGATCACTTCTCGTAATCCCATGAGCTCCTCATCTCCACCAACTAATGGGTTAATTTTATTATTTGTCTCTGCATGTCTTTCACCGGCTCTTGAATGTTTCTTTTATAAGGTGGAACCTCCTCATCCCTTTTTATCTTAACACATTTGGCTTCATGATGTCTTACAGTTATAATTATTTAGTTGCACAAAGCAAACAAAATAATATGGGATTGTTCGACACAACAAGCAATAACTTAGGACGGTTAGACTTTGACACTAATTGATGTAAACAAAAGCAATATAAGAAAGACAACATGCACAATAACACAAAATTTAGATGGAAAAAGGGAACAAATAGAAACCTTAATAAAAAAAAATTATTACTTAATATTTTCTATTTACATAGTCTACAAACCTACAAACTATTTTCTTAATATTCTTTAGGAGATTTGTAACTCTTTAAATAAACCTACAAACTAATTACCTAAACCAATAAGGAAAATCTAAAAATAAAGGAAAAGTAATAAAAGTTGTAAATAATCTAGGATAGAAAATATTAAATGAAGATAAAAAAATAAAAAAATATTTCTAATCTAAATAAAAAAATAATCCTAGATCAACTAGAAAAATAAAAAAAATCTTGACTAGTAATTTATAAGGATTATTGGAAGGCCTTATCAAACTCCAATTACCATGAAGTTTTAACCATATAAAAAACAAGGCCTCTAGATTTTTCAAGTCAAATTTTAGTATGATCTAATAGTCAGATGAAAAATTATATGCAATAACACAAGACTAAAAATTAAGAAAAAAGAATCTGATGCTTTAGTCTTCCCAGATCATAAAGAAGTCATCATCAAGTTCAAATTGCCTAGATCTCATGAATGTCCAATAAAAACTCTTTAACCTCTTTTTTTTCTTCTTTTCATGTATATAATAATTTTAGATATCAACTCAAATCCCTTCATCTTAAAATTCATGTAAAAAACAACAATTGATATATTATTTCTTTTTCATTGGCTTATAAAGTAATAAATTGTAAACCTAAAATTGCTTCATCAATATATGTTGTGTTCATATAACCTCTTAACACATCTACCTTTGTGATAACATAACTGACACGACGAAAAGATTGATGTCTTCTCCCAAGTGCAGGAGTGTCGAAGTAATAAATAACCCGGCAAGACCGAGGTCGAACCACAGGGAGGTTAATTGTAAAAATTAAAAACAACAATTA